GACGAGAGAGAGAGAGAGAGAGAGAGAGTTTGCATTTTATCCTTGAAGTAATTTTATAATAATAATTATAATAATAATAATTATAATAATAATAATAATAATAATAATAATAATAATAATAATAGTACTAAGCCCCATACATATTACATATGTATTTGTGACTCCCTTTATATATATATATATATATATATATATATATATATATATAATACACATTGGATATGTAATATTATGCCTATAATATATTATATACCCATAATAATATATATTATGATGTACACTTTATTTCTCATATATAAAAAATAAAATATAAATCTGCAATTTCTGTTCTTTTTTTAATTTTTAAATATGTTAAATTCTGCAAATAAACAGTAATTGTGCACTATAATGTGTAGAAGTGTGTTCTCAGTAGAGGTCCTTTCTTATTCTAAGAAAATTAACTAAATTTTTTTATACAACTGTATGTATGAACTCCATTACATATGTATATATAAAACTGAATAAACAAAATATGTATAGTGTGCTACAATACACATATTTTATACACATATTAAAGTTTATATTTATATCTATATTTACTACCCAATTCTTTTTAGCTGTATGTACTGTATACATATACTTCAGTACCTATTACACATCCTTTTACTTATAGATTGTGTGTATTGTCTATTTTATGTTTATACAGTATGTGTGTTTGTGTGTATGTGTGTGTGTATATACATATGTATAGATAAGTATTTCATTCAACATTCATGTCAGTAGGCCTATCTATGTGTACTAACAATATTATTATCCATATATATTTGAAAGTGTATACACACACACACACACACACACACACACACACACACACATATATATATATATATATATATATATTTATGTATGTATCTATGTATATATAATACATATGTCCCACATGTACTACATGTATGTGCAAGTATGTAGTAAAATGTTCAATGTTCCTATACTATATTGCTATACTACATCTTGTACATATTAAACTACCTACATATAGTATAATATGTTCCATGTATATTTCATTTAAGTATCTGTAATAAGGAATTTAATTTTTTAATTAAAAAAAAAAACATGCAGCACTTTACAAAGTGAGGATTATTTTGTTGCTACTGTAGGTTAGACCAGTTTACCTTGGGCTTTACTAAAGTCACGATCACATTTGTGTTGACAATGTACAAAAAACAAAAACAAACACACTCTCCACTCTGTGGACTAACAGGCTGTGTGCAGTGTTCTCCACTTCTCTGCTGATGGAATCTTGAGGAAGATTTAGTGTCAAAACACACATTCATAGCAGATTAAAAAATATTTCAGTTTGATTTGGCCGTTAGCGTTTACAGTTCCGTAGAGAGCTGAAAGAAAAAGAAAAAAAAGGACATAAATCAGTAAGTTTCCCCTGAAGCTCCATCAAGCAGCAGCTTTTGTTACCTGCCTGAAAGCTGAACCCGCTCCTCACAGGCAGCGAGGGTAAAAATGAACCATCCCTCAGGAGCTCCAGCGGGACTTTTGAAATTCTCCTGCCTCCCCACACCCTCCAGCGCACCTGGGAGAGGAGGAATGAGAGAAAGAACAGGCCACTGGGTCTCCTGCTTCTTACTACTCCATCTGCTTCCAGCACACACCGATGGCTGTAAAATCAGCACTACACTGAATATATGCATTGATTTTACTGCAAACATGAATAAAATATATCAATACATTTATAACTTCCTGTTGACTTATGTTTGGCAACACGCATTAATATATCTTATTTATATGGAAATCATGTACACATTTGAATGAAGTCAATTCAGTTTTTTAGCGTAGTTTTAGAAGTAAAATTTAAACACCTTACAACAAACTAAAATTTGCTAAGTAGCTCTACACTAAAACAAACTCATTTGACTTTTTTTAAGGAATGACACTATTTTTAACTGCTAAAACTTTTTGAGCCTTTCAACACAACTATAGAACTTATATCATAGTAGCTACTGTGTAATAAGCCTGGTGTTTAAGAAGTTAAAGGGGAATTCCACTAGTTCTTCAGAATTTCTGAATAATTCAATCATTCACATGTAAATAAAGTCATCAGATTTCTTTACAGTGGTGGTGACAGGAACTGGGGTTGTGACGTCAACACAAATACAGCCATTTTATTTACTGCCCAAAACTACCAGTGAACCTATATGTGCCTATATGTTTTTCCAGTAATCCTGATGATGGTTAAATAGTAGTAAATCTAAAAAAATAAGTTTTTGGAGGGAACTATTTTGCTTCAAAACACCCTGCATGCATTTAAAAAAAAACAATTTAGGCCCAAACTTTCACAAAACTATTGTAAAACATTGTCTCAGACATCAGGAAGCGTGTATAACCATTTTCTGGAAGGGAGCTTTAAGAGGTGGAGGTCCGGTTCCTATCACTACCACTATGAACAAATCTCTCTCTGGAGTATTTATCAAACCACTCTGAATGACCTTTGTAACCATTTAGATATGCAGACGTTTAGAAAAATCACTGAAATTCCCTTTAAACTACGTACACACAAAACCAGTCTTTTAAACGCTCCACAGATTTGCAACTTCACTTTCATCTGATTGGAATAAAATTTACATTATTCAAACATGTGAAGGGTGTCAATGCTCCATTGTGTGCGTTTTGGCCTTAGCACTGCAGGGGTCAAAGGTCAGTGGGTGGGCAGTGGTGTGGACAGCATGATGGAGCAGAGAGGCCTGCTGTTCCCACAGCAGGGACACACTGAGCAGGGCTGGAAAAAGAGCTCAGGTCCATCAGGGTTATCCTGAAGACTGTGTCCATCTACAAACACAGAGAAGGCTGAACATAATCTGCACTACATTTTACTCATAGTGTGCACAACCTCAACCTTTTCTCACAGACAAAGAGCTTTTCATCAGAACTGAGTCTTTAATAGTTTTATCTAATGCCACGCTGTAAATGTTTACACAGTATTTTCCAGGCATTTTTTAGATGAGATTCCTATTACAATTGTACAGTAAACTCAGATAACTACTATATTTTACTGCAAGTACTATATATGTAATATAAAACAGTATAGATGATTAACAAAGCACTACGCAGCACTTTAGAAATCATATATATTCTTAGAGTATAAATATATATTTTTTTTAAGGGACTTTAAACAAATAATATTAGGCAGGATAAATTTAGAAAGCAAATTATGATGCAAAATAAGACTCCTCCACTGTGGCTGGCCTAATGACATCCTAATGACAATGACATTTAGCACTATTAACTAACCAGCCAAGTCTACTTCAGCAAATTAGGCTAACTTAGCAACAGTTTACACACACACACACACACACACCTCAACGCTTAGAAAATCAACAAAACATGTACTTTGACCAGGGGTTTGCATACCACTGTATATAGCGTACTGACTTTATATATACATTATTTATACATATACATATATATATATATATACATACATATATATATATATACATATATATACATATATATATATACACATATATATACATATATATATATATATACACACACACATGCACACACACACATCATATATATGAAGTATTAATATCAGTATGTGAAATATTAAATTGTTCTTTGAGCCTGAACAAAAATCTAGACAGTATTCAATTTCCATAAATGTATATGGTCACATGACTTATTTCATTTATCATATTAATGGAATGAGGTCAAATATAAACTTTCTAGAGAACACGTTATGTGACGTACTCTCAGCATTATTGCATTTGCTGTGTTTTCTCCCGCAATTCACTACATTTTAATGGTGGTCTAATCGGTCACGGCAACCTCACTGATTTAACCCATTCAGGACCCACAGCTAAATTTGGTATGATGAGCAAAAATGCCACAGAGCTTGATGATGGAAAAGATTAGATTTTGTGTAGTTGTACCTTAAATGAACATCTAACAGAACTGTTTTCTGGGGTTGCAGGCATTTTTTTTATGTTTTTATTCACAGTCAAATCTGGATTTTCTATTTTGTTAATGATCAAAACACTTTAACTTTGTACGACATTCATGTTTGCGATCAATTGGCTACTGATGGAGAATGAGCTAAAACCATTTGCTCCATAATATAACTGAATTAACAGAGTAAAGCTGACTGAAGATAGTTAAAGGCTCTTAAAAAAAAATTAAACTCTGAAAGCTTAGCAGCCACAACTTTATCAGGCAAAGATGCATTTTTATGTAAATACTTGCTTCATGCAAATGGTAAAGAAATGTAATTTCTAATTTCAGCTGTTTTCACCAAAGCAATATAAACGAGACTGAACAAAATTACAAAAGCACCTCAGATCACTGTAAAATGATTTTAATCACTGAAAAAAATCTTAACGCTACAATCTCTGTGTTCAGTATTTCTTACGATCATTATGAAGCAGGACTTGTGGATTTACGTTTGGTATTCTTAAATACAAACTTTAAGGGTTTTGCATATTCCTATACACATACATGAACACACGGGAAAAGGTATAGGAGTATAAAATGACATCAATAAAATGGTGCAAAACTTAAAAGAAAAAATCCTGTACATAGAAAAATAAATTAATAGCTTGCATCATTATTTTCCCTATGACTGTTAATTAGATCTGAACACACCAAATGAACTTTAATAATCCTTCACACCATCAGAGGGGGGGACACAAATACCTATTTACATTAGAGAGGAGGTAAAATGGCGCTAACTAAACTCCAAACAGCTTATTCTGATAGCAATATGATCTGATCTGTTGCTTTACATGGAAAAAAAAAATGAAAAAACAACCATATTTACACAACAATGAGCCATCCGAGTAGTTTTTTATGCTCAAATACAAGACAATTTAATCAATAATCAAAATTCTTACAAGATCCAAAAAGGAACTGAGACAATTTTTTGTACAGTAGTATAAAATTGTTTCAAGAGACAAATCAGGCTCTAAAATAGAAATCTTGTGCCCATCACATAACAAAATTGCAAATAAATACAAAAGGTGGGAGGGATTTTACGGAAGTTGGCTTCGGAAGTGATGAATGCAGCACAAGTGCTGGAATTGAACTAGATTTCAGTGTCGTCACTGCGCAGCCCCTGTGGTACTGTGGGTGACGTGGTATTGCCTGAGCGACATCATTGACAATGATACTGAATTCGCTTTAAAAACGGACTGATTCGGAATAAAAAGGGAACTGGCAACGTTCTCCAGTGTGTAGCCTCTGGTTGAGAGCGTGGAGGGTGGTGCCAGGCACTTGGGTAAAGGTCCTGGTATTTCAGTCCTGGCTCTGAGAGGTAGGTTCTCGTCTACAGCAGGGTCAGCGTGTCCTTTATTTTTCGACTTGTGGAATGCCTTGTGTCCAGAGGAAGCTGGAGACCAGGATGCGGAGAAGGCCTTCGTGGTGCACTGCTTCGTATTTGAAACTTTCACTGCTTTGCTTTTTGTCCTCATTTTTATTATTATTGTTATACATTTACAACCACATAAAACAGTTTTTTTTTAATCTCTTTTGGAGAGCGTCCTATGACAGTCCTTGTTAAAGGGGCTTTGGAGAGGTAACAGCGGCGAGCAGGAACTATTCCAGAAGCGTGCGTGGCGGGGCCGTGGAGGAAAAAAGCTCCGTCCCGCACTTAAGTCTCCAGCCAAAATCACTCAGCACCTTCCTCCCACAGTGATTCACACGAGTGTGTCACCTTTAGAACACAGACAGAGCGAGTATGTGTGTATATGTAAGTGCGAGTCGGTGTCTTGGCCTCTTAAGTGGCCCCCTGGGACCCTAACGTTTACAGCAAGTGATTTATTCCAATTCAGTGCAATGCTAGACCTCAAGAGTTTTTTTTCCTTCAGCCGAATAGAGTGCCGGGTCAGTTTGTGTTTGTGTGCGAGCAGCGCAGTCTGACGGTGTGTCTGAGCGGCAGGTTAGTTTGAAAGATGCTCCGATGGTTGGCCCCTAAAAGAGGGTGACCTCCTGCCCCCTCCTTCAGCAGTCAGGCTAGGTCAGGTTTTCTCCTGCCCAGTTACGGCCACAGCTTTCTCCCCCAGCCTCTGTTCAAAAACAACAAAAAAACCCCACAAAACAATATAAATCACAATGTATTTAAGTCATCCCAGCTTGTATTTATTTCAACTGTACAATCTACTGAAGTACAATTTGTTTTATTTTCTGCTTATAATGTGTGTGTTTTAAAGGCATTTCAATGTAAAATTTCTATATAACTCAGCCCTGGTGAACAAAGATAAAAACCATTTAGAGTGGTTTGATACAATCTAGAGAACTCATTGCAATGGTGGTGCACACATTTAAATCAAGTAAATTCCACACATTACTTTTTCAGTGAAGTTATATGATAAGAGTTAAAGGGACTACAAGGGTACATACGTTTATGTACTGAGAACAGTTATCATTAAATTTTCAAATTACTTTTTTCCAGCCTCTTTTAATGCGTTTGAATAAACAGGCTGTTGTTACTGTGCCTTTGATTCTGCATTTACACCAGGTGTTAAAAAAAACAAAAAAAAGCACGACTGGAATTCATTTATTTTCAATGAAAGCTGGCAATTTTCTGTGACAGGAGGCAGCGTGAACACTGGCAGCGTGCTTTATCTTTGCCACTGTGAAGCAATAAGCAACTTTTTTGGTTCCTAGATATTTATTCCTACTGGAGTTGGAGGAATGGTGACTGTACTTGCGTCACAAATAGACGGTGATCGCAAAGACAAAACACAGTGCAAACACAGTGATGCACTACAAAGGGATTAAATGTACAGACAAGCTATTTCTCTCCAGGATTTTAATTTTTAGCAGGAACACATCTGATTTGTTCTTGGCATCAGTGAAACCATGGCAAACAATGGCCAGCACAAGTTTAGAAATGCCTACGGGCGATGAGTGACCAAAGATTTTGACAACAAGGTGAAAAATCACTGCTGCTGTGAACGCAGAGTAAGACTGATATTTGAAAATAAGCTCTGTTCTGATTGGCTGCCCTCTATTGTGCTTCATTCCAAAAGGGGGCTGAAATACTCCTTTTAATGTTAGTGTAAATGGGCGGAGCTAAACTGCTGAAGGCTGAATAGGTGGATGTATGTAAATTCCAAAAACAGTGAATTCAAAATAGGCTTTTTTGCAGCTCAGTTTCCATACAAGGATCATATGAACTGGGGAAAGAACAGCATATTTTAAAACTTTAACTGTGTTTACACCACGTTAAATGCTGGCATGGAAAATGGGCCCTTTAAGAACATCACACACATATTTATTTTTTAAACTTGAAATTTTGTGATGTTTAAACACACCTCAGGTCTTCTTTCAAATACATAATGTTACATAGCAGTTACTGAATAACTACTGCTGTGATGTCTACAACACAAATATAGCCCCTTTATTTACTATCCAAAGCCATGGCAAAAAAGTGATGAAGTAGTACGTCCTCTGTGGGTATTTTGCCTTGCCATACTCTGCATGTACCTGTACTTCAATGGAGTTAAAAAAACAAACAAACAAAAAAGTATATGTAAATATGTTAATGGTTGCTGATGAACAATGATGAACAATGATGAATTCAAAAGGGTTTATTCCCCCAGCTTAGTTTGCACAAACAGACTGGGGAGTGAACGGTATGTTTTGAGACTTTTTCACATACTACGTCAAGCTACTTCTAAAAAAAAAAGAGTGAGGTAATTTAGGTTTTCCATAATATGGGTCTTTTAAAAAGCAGAAGGTAGGAATAATCCGAATACAAAGCAAACACTGTGTGTTGCTAAAAACCAGCTTGAACAGCACTAACCCCGGTCTTCTGGGCACTGCTGTCATTGTGCATGGCCAAGAAGGGGTTGGCGGTGATGGCTCCCTGGGCGGCGGGCAGCAGGCTGTTGATAGGCAGCTGGGACGAAGAAAGCTGCTGGAGCTGCTGCAGGTCGTGCTGCTGCTGCTGTTGCTGTTGTTGCTGCTGCATCAGCTGGTAGAGCAGAACGTGCTGCTGCTGCTCCTACAACACATGCACGGAAATTGTAAAGAGAACTGCCAGGAGGACATGATGAACATGAAGTACTAAAGAAGACTTTCAGTAAAATACTGAAATGTAAAGCGATAATTTGGCCATTAGACAAATTCACACTTTTTCCCCCTCTTACCCCAAATGTAGTAAAAGAGGATAAGACAAGTTTGGCATCTGTTCGAAGTTGCTTATTTAATTTTACACTGGCGCTATAAGGCTAAAGTAGCATCAGGGAAGCATGCTACTTATTAGCATCGTGCTAACCGCATGTCTAAATAATCCCATATTTTCCTCAAAATGTGTTAAGTTGTTACAATGTTTAATCAAATCTGATTTTCACAAAAACATGGCCAAGAAACTCAGAATTTGACTCTTCTACAACACGCAAAACATGCTTAGCGCTTAAATCATATGATGAGTAAACGTTACCGGTAGAGGCTGCTGGGAGTTGATCAGTTGCTGCAGTTGGTGCTGATGGAGGAGAAGCTGCTTCTGCTGCTCAGTGAGGAACCTCACCGCACTGCCAACACATAAACACAGTCCTGTCAGCAGACTACATTCATAACAGTGCTACATAAACAACAAACTCAACCACTCCCCGTCATTATAGAAACACATTAACCACCACCGGCACAGCAAATTATGATGAAAAGCAAATTTCCTATAAACCCAAAGTGCGTTCAGCACACGTCTGCAATCACAACAAATTGCACAAATGTAAATGTGTCATTTCCTGTTATAACAGCCTTTAAACATAATGCTTTTTATAAACCTTTTATATTTTAAACATTTAATGCAAAATATGTTTCCGCATTCTGTTTATTTCAAGGAGAGAAGTTAAAACACAAAAATGCATATAATTTCTTTGCACTTGCAAGCCTTTATATGAAAAGCATTAAAAAAACAAAACAAGCAAAATACACAACTCATAGAACATTATTTAAAAAGAGAAGCATACTTAATTTATGAAAAAGACAAATAGTATATAAAATACAAATAGAAACAGACAAGGACAGAAATGATAAAATATGAAAAACAAGCAAGCAAACATGCAAGTACACATGCACACGCTAGAGGTCTGCATGAATGCCAAATTGAAGCCTGAACCCAGCCTGAAATGTTTTATCAACATTACATTTAAAACACAGAAGACATGTGCAGGTTTACTGGTGGTTTTGGATAGTAAATACAACGGCCATATTTGTGCTGACATAACCACCCCAGGTTCCCATCACCACAACTGTAAAGAAAGCTGAGTCTGTAAGTTTCTCTAGAACACAGCATTTCATTTCAAAACACTATAAGTGACTGTATTTACATCTCAACCACTGAATTATGCTGAAACCTAATTTAACAAACAAAATGAAAAATCTGCTGTGATCTTTGTTTGTACACAAAGAAGTAGCTCAAACCTGGCCCAAAATGCAATATTCTGCAGAGCCCTGTCGGGCTTGGGTCGAGTAGCAGACCTCTAACACACGCACACATATTGACTTTGAAGGTCACACACAGTCCTCACCTGTTCTTCGCAGTGGTCACATTGCTGCAGCAAGCAAGCGAGAGCGAGAGAGATACAGAGAGAGAGAAAGAGAGAGAGAAGGGGGGATGTCAGAAAAAGAAGAAAAGATAAAGGAGGTCAACATGCAGGCTATTCTATTCTAGGACTACTAAAAGCTTCAACAAAGCACGCAGCATAACACTCTCCCGAAATAAAAGCACAGCTTTGTCACTGTACTAAGTGCTTGATACAGATCTAATGGTTCATCCATTACTCGCAAGCTTCCCAAACTTTGAAATCAGAGGCTCTTCAAATAAATCCTATAAATAAAACACAAATTCACAGACAGCAATAGCAAGAACTCTGCAACTGGGAAAGGAAAGACAACTGTGTCATTACAGCAGCCTTACAAGCAAGTGAGACACAGACATGCCCTATATAAAATAATTTTTAAAATGGAGCATTGATAAGGTCTGAAAAACAGTGCTGGTATTCGCAAATTAAATCAAAATACATGGAAATGTCACCATCTAGCTTTGTTTGGCTGTTCAAATTTCTTTGAGCTTTTTTGTCATCAATATTGTTACATTATTGTTATATTATTTTCACCTTAGTTAGTCTTAAGAGTCCTTGAGAGTGGATTAATTAGAACTGCTATTTCTGAAGTAAGACCAGTGGCATCAATAAGCAGAATCATGAAAGGGGTTGTCAACTTATTCTGTTTATGCTTTTAGCAATATGTTTCTGTAGGGATGTACATATGACTGTGAGATAAAGAACACTGCTGGACATATCTTGAGATATTTTTGCTTCTTGTGCTTCCTTGATTGGATTTGAGTTGACTATACTGCAAGACGCTGAAATCAAATCCTCCTGCAAATCAGAACTAGGGCGCTTTTTTTTTTTGTCAGCAGCTCTTTTCCACACAAACCGAAGTCTGACTGACTAGTGAGCTATCATTTTAAAAACACCCCTTTACTGTGGTAAATTAACTGTAACAAAGATTACATTAAATTATTAAATTTTTTCTGCATAATTGCCATAAAAGTCTAACTTGGCGGACAAATACTCAAATTGCTTGAATGATTTGATGCCTATCACAGGCACCTGGGCAAAGTAATACATGTTAGCAAACGGTATTGGCCAGTATTTGTACGAATGGCCAAATGCCTACTTACGTTAGTCAATAACATTCACCACCACGGTTATTGTAGTCATTCTTAGTTGAAAATAACTTTATATGAGATAAATGACATTTAATATGTACAATCGAGTTGCCAATCCCTTTAAGAGCAAAACTAATAGCATTAGTATAGTAATCCTACTGATACTCATTCACTATGGACATACCTGTTGTTGAGGCTGCCAGACATGGGCAGAGAGGCAGAAGTGACGGTGGAGGGGTGGGGCAGGGGGCTGGAGTTTTGCCCCAGGCCAGGGGATGTTTGGATCACTCCGTTTAGGGCGCCCACGATGCCGCTCATGGCAACATGGCCGCCCTGCAGAGCGCCCATCAGACCACCCACCCCCATGCCCGGCAGAGAGGGGTTGGCAGTGGCGTTGGGCTGCAGGGCCACACCGTTAACCTGCTGCTGCTGCTGGGGGGGGCTGTGGGCCACTGAGGGGGGAGTGGAGAGGGAAGAAGTGCTGCTACCACTACTATGGCCACCAGACAGGAGATCCTACATGAGGTTTGGGGTGAAGGTGGAGAAAGAACAGCAATAGGGAAGTATTTACAAGTCCATCCCCCCCCCAAAAAAACATATATTTAAAAATATTAGTAAACAAGATGTCGCTGCCATAAGAAAAGCTAGTATCTCCAAAATGGTAACTAAATCATTTAAAATAGACTATATTAATGCCCAAAGAAAACTTTAATTGTTCTAGTGTAGCTATATGGTCCAGCCCCAGGATAATCATATGTATACATAGAAGAAACATTTTTTCTGGAATTTTCTGGAATTTTAACAAGTTAAGTATGCTTCTCTTTATTTATGGTGACACTTTAAATGTTACATTAGTTTATTAATTGTTAATAATTAGGTCATAAACACTTTAAAAGACATGCATAAGCAGTTATGACAAAAAAGGGCATCAGTAACTTATGTGATATGAAGCTGACACGTTTACTGCTGACTGATGGAGAAGTCAAGAAATCAGCAAGATCTGAACTTTAACAGTAGGGAAAAATGTGGGCTCACCATTTTGCAAGCAACAGGTTACTGCTGCCCTTTTGTGTGTTATAACTGCTTATTATTGATTTTTATGGTGGACCTAATTAATAACCATTAATCAGCAACTTTGAACCCATTTATAACCTTTTATAAGATGAGGCTTACTGTGATGCCATACATGACTTATTTATTAATTTGTTAATGCTAGAAGTATACAAATAATTTTCAAAGTCCTCCAAGTTTCATCCATAACGCACAGCTGTATTTTGGTTTCTCTCTTTGAAATTAAAGTGGAGTGACGAGGATTTCTTACGACAGCGACAAAGAAATCATACATCACAGGCAGCAGACAAATCTACAGATTTGTTAACATTTATCATTACATGACTGCCTGCAGAAGTTAACAAGTGCATTGGTATTCTATTGTAAGACTATAATGTTATACATAATAACACTTTGACTCAACTAAACAGGTGTTCAGTCCCAGCAGATCTCATCTGCAGAGCAGGGGTAGAGGGAGTTACCTGAGTGGGCAAGGGTTGAGAGGAGTCTGTTAAAACACTGCTGCCTAGCTGAATGCTCTTGCTGTTCAGCATGTCTGGAGGAGAGAAAGATTTTGCAACTTCACATGAGAGTGGTGACCAGACAGGCTAGAGCTGGGGGAGGGAAGCTGCACCAGCAGTGCAGTGGAGGAGGGGAGACACAGAGTGAGTGAGGGTAAGAGTGGCGTTTTGGTGAGTGATTTAGTATGCTGACGTGTGCGTGCATGCGGTTAGGCCTGCAAAGCTGACTTGTATGCATGTGTGAAGGCCATGGGTGCCCAAACTATTTGTCTTGGGATTGGGGGTGCAAAGTATTATGTTTGCTATAGCGCCTGGGCGGAAAGGACAAAGCAGCTAGAAACTCATTAGTTTTACGTCTTTGCGAATAGCCAGCAAACGTGTAGAAATCTATTCATAAGGTCTTTCATAAGGTCAATGCTGTATCTATTTATTTGTTTGTTTATCAGGGACAATGTACATTAATTAACAGGGGTGGGAGATATAGTAAAAAATGTAACATCATACTTCAAGACATTTTCATTATACACGGCATCACAATATTTCATTTTTCTGATAAACTGGAACAGACAGAAGTAGTGGCTGGTATGGCCAAAAAGTTATATCACAGTATAATTAAATTTCTGACTGTTTACAAATGTATGCTTAAGTAAACCTATTTTTGTAGGTTAACAGTGGCTTATTCTGGGATGTCCCATTTTATAACAACCCAAGTAAATATGAAATATTTTAATTGTGCAAAACAGTAAAAACAAACGTAACATTATGTAGATAAACCTGTGTCATTACTGTCTATAACAGCAGCTGGCAAAAACAGCGCTTCATGTTGCTTAACATCCTAACTTTCGCAAAAGTGAAGTTGGCTTCTTTTTGGCAAGCTTTTGTTTCAAATTTTCTGTTCCACTTTAAATGGAGCTGAGATAACATTCTGGCACCTATACATGAACTTGAATGTAACTGCTGCACCATTTAAGGTTCTGAATAAAAAGGCAACTTCAGCTTCAACAAGTAATTTGTCTCATATGTGCATTTGACACACTTATACTTCTGACCATCAGACAATGCTGGAAATTGGAAACCATTACAGTTACACAGCTATCAGCACCAGCTGATTGATGGCTTGTTTTGCACACAAGGTCCTGACTGTGATACAGATCAACAACAAACACGACAATTTTTTATCATCGTTTCACATATCGCACTGGCCAAAATCCAGTTAAACAGGCCTAATGGACCTCTGAAGTCGTGCGTCATTCTGTTGACGGTGTCTTGCCGATATTAGGGACTCTATGTCAACAAAACATTTCTAACCACATAAATTTCGTCCCATGTACATTTTTCCCAGAATGTCACTGAATCTGATGACTACAGAATGACGACACGACTTCAGAGGTCTGTTATGCTCTTTGTGATGAAAAAGCAGTTGATCAGAGTTCTTGCTGGCAATATCCACAATATACTCTAATATGAACTGTCCACCCCTATTAATCAAAGCAAAATTTTCCAGTGTTAGCCAACAGGCTAATTTAGAACTGTAGTCCCTGATGTTATTAGACTGAACGTAAATGCTAAAGCAAATCGCTTTGGCTGTAAATTCAGTGAAAAGATATTCTTCACACCAGTGGCCACTAATTCTTTTATGCATGTATTTAGCTCACAATTAGTGGCTGCACATGCGCTGTTACACTTGCGTTGTGGTCAGTAATAACTGTGCCCCTCTAAAATTAAGCTATGCGTACTGCAAACCAAAATCGGAAAAGAGAAAAAAAAAAAAAATTAATTGTACAAAAAAATACTTTTTCCTCACTGGGTGAGAGTGTTGCTGAGGGTGGGATGGGACAAACAGCCAGAGGCCTCACTTTGGGCAGCCCTGGTGTATTCAATGTTGAAAATCATGGCCTATGGTATCGAAGGCCATATGTAATAATAATCTGTATGTTTGCACTGGCTAGAAGGCTTTGTCCTGCTCTATATCTGCACGCTCTGCTGCCCTGAATGTGTGCGAGGCTAACCTGTGTGAGTATTGCTGGGGTACAGAGGGGAGGAGACGGTGGTGGCGGTAGTGCTAGCGGGGGTGAAAGGCACGGAAAGCTGGGCGCTCAGCAGCTGCAGACGCTCCTTCTTCATGGTTAGAGTCCGGATCTGCTCCTCCAGCCGGCGGTTCTCCATCTGTAGCTGATGCAGGGACTTCAGCATACCCAACACTGCAAACAAAAACATTTCTTAAAAATCAGGATGTAAATCTCTGACCTCATGACAAATCAATTTGATTACAGTTCTCAATTCATCATAAAATCTCACGTTTCATCTCAGTCTGATTAGATTATTTTAGAAGGATTAAAATTTTTATTTTTATTTTTTTTAAAAGGACTGAATACGCAAATGTGACTAGAGGAATTATTCTCACAATAGTCTTGAATTTTTTTGTTTTGACAGTAGCCAGAGAATTTTATTTTGGCCAAAAAGTACTTGCATGCTTTTATTTAATATATTTTATCATCATCACTTCACTGATTCAGAAATCAATGCAGTTCAACAGCCACCTTCAGATCAATGAGTCACAATTTATTTGTACATCCCTATAAACAAGCACACACAAATCAGACAGGCAAAGGCCCAGGAGACATTACCTAAATTCAGCTTTTTAGATTCTTTTGATCAACTGTTTTTCAATTAATCGACTAATCAATCTTTCCTGCTTCCACTATTTCCTCTTATTTTGCCTCATCACAGTAGTACCATCAAAGCTTCATCTGTGCAACATCCGATTTCTTTCATGGTGCAACAAAACACTAGAAACTATGTTGCCCCTACACCTGTGGTGTGCTGCAGTATGTCAGAATAACCACGTTTATATGAATGTTATAAGGCACTCTTGTTTTTAGTTAGACTAAAACTGACTTTTCTCACTATAAGCACTGACTACAACTAATCAGCTCTGTCAACTAGTTGTTGCAGTCCTACTGCATGTCCAACATCTGTACACCAAGCAAAACATCAGCTCAAACTGCCTGACACAGCTATTCAAAGCTATGGACCAGATTCATGGCTTATAGAAGCACTGGGTCTCTGCTTTTTAATAACAAGCCTGCTACAAATGAGTGGTTAGCCTACACAGAGCATGGCATTATAACTAATATGCACCCAATAAGTACACATACACAGATTTCCTTTTATTGTTAGATGATACAATAGGAGGTGGTCATTAAACCTGGCAGCTTGCTAGCTTAAAGAGGAATTGCACTATTGTTTTTTTTGATCTTCACAGTTCAATAGTTGAGATGTAAACAGCCATTCAGAAAGGTCTGATGTGAAACTGTTCATTGTAAAGAAACTTACAGACTCAGATTTCTTTACAGTGGTGGCTATTTTATTTACTACTCAAAACCACAAGTGAACCAACACTGCATTCTGAGCTTTTATTTGTAACGTTGATGATGGCAAAATAGTGATGCATCTAGAAGGGAAAACAAAAAATATTTTTTGGGGACTATGTTGCTTACAATGCTCTGCATACACCCTATGAACCCTCTACTATGAAGGGGTTTTAGGCCATAATCTCATTTATTATAACCATTTCATGTAATAACGTTCTGTGAGGGAGTCTGAGGTCAGACGTCTGGTTCCCATCACCACCACTGTGAGAAATTCAGACATGGTAATTTTCTCTAAAACAGAGTTGTTCAAATCAAGCCACCCTGAATCTCAACCATTTAATTAGACCAAAACTTTAAAAAAAATTAGTGGAAGTACCCTTTAACCTGCAGAAAGAACACTACTAAAAACAGAAACCAAAAGACACGTTTTTGAATCTGTAGTAGTGATGAAACCAGCAGCACAAAAGTAGAGATTAGTAGAGATAGTAAAGATTGTTTTTGCGCACTGTTTCCTTCCACAACCAGTAAATAAGGCCCCTTTTCAGATGACCCGATTTAATACCAGTTACATTCAAACAAAACCAAATGTTAAGACAAACTGCAAGAACCACAAAGCTGGTTTCAGATCAGCTGTAAAGGGCACCTTCTACACAACCAGCCCACCACTTCCTGTTGAGGCCCCTTCACCCCGCCTGTAACGTCCCCCCAGCAGCCGCCAGTATTTCCTCTCACACAAAACCAACAGCTGCTACTCATAAAGAAAAGCCTCTGAAGCTTCATGTTCTACAACTGACCTAGACTCGTTTAGGCGCTCACTAGCAAAGGAGAACCATTTTTTTTCTTCCCTCTCATATTAGAGAAATTAAGGTAGGAAAAACAAATCCTGACAAGTAATAGAGCTTATAATTACTGTGGTAAATGAAATTAATTAATTAATTGGTTAATGAAAAGAAGCTGACTTGTATTAGAATAAGCCCTGGGACTGGATGCAATTACAGACTTAGTTTGTTTGATTGACAAGCGGTGTAATGGGCCTTTTTATGACTGAAGGTGTAATTACATATACATAAAGAAGGGATGTATGGACTCAATTATGCTGTCGGAAATACAGCATATCAGAGACCTTCAGAGGCAAGAGAAGAGACGTTTCAATAATATTTTGGTTAAACTGTAAAATGTATACAATTTTCTGAGGGAAGAACTAAGAAACTACTTAAAAGAAAAAGATAAAGCCACAAGTAGTGATTAACGAACAAATCAGTGGAATTAGTCATCACTATTTGTTACAACAGATATCTTCTACAGCAAATCTACATATAGCCACACACTCAAAAGTCAACAAACTCATTAAATAAATAGCAACAAAGCAGTATCATCAAGTGTGCTTCTGCATGCATGTATATGGATTAGGGCTGTCATGAAAAAGCAAATTAACGTGACTGATAATAACCATAGTACATATTTATCTTTTCAGCGAATCTGCAATAGTTACTTGTCCCAAGAGCGTGAAGCACTCTCCCGAATTTGCAATTTAACTAGCACTATCACTTCAAACACAAGGTTTGGGTGAAGGGCCAGTTAAGTTCTGTTTTGAACAGAATTGCTTTGAACTTGGGTCAGTTTGTGAAGAGTGATGTGGTTCTGGTCTGGTCAGAATTCTAGGGCTATATTTGAGTTCTGACCAACTTCTACTTGTCTCTTCGCCATGAAGTTTTTACAAGGTACAAAGCAGGTGTTGTTTTTAAATGGTGCAAAAAAACAAAGCAAAACAAAATTTTAAAAATCTGAAAAGCTTAAAAATGTTTTGATACAATGTCAATGAACTGCTTGCATGGAATACATAAATGTCCCTCAGTGTTTGTGTGGACATCCTTACCATCTTCCTGTGATCCCTGCTGAAGGAGAAACTGCTGGCCTTCGTTCCACTGTCTCTCCAGTAGCTGTTCGATGCTGGTGGCCACAGGAGGCAACGAGTCTGTGCTGGAACCGAGCCCTGGCACCAGGGGCCCCGACGGGTCATAGCGGATATGCAGTCCGCTTAACGGCGAGCTTAGAGCATGGGGGGGACACAAGCACACAATACTGTTACTATTTAATACACAAGATCAGGATAATGACTATGTACAAAGAGCACTGCAACTGCAAAGGAGCCCTTGTGCACACAATGCATTAATTCATTCATTAAAATGCAGTAAGGTGATTGGTTTGTAATCAGACCGGGATTTGTGCCAAAGGCCAAATTCCAGCCTTGCTTCCTCCTACATGCCTGGAAGTGTATTTGCAGTCTGCTGGAGGTTTCTCAGGAGCTGAAAAGGCCCTGTTCTACAGATGGACCCATCTACCAGAAACTGTGTTTCACTACCTCTGATCTGGCATCACTTCATCGTTCAAACCGCTCTTTCACACTAGAGATGGGACCGATTTATTAATCAGTATCTGGCTGATAAAAGTGGAAAAATACTGGATCGCATGTTAGAGAAAAAAAAATAATAAGAAGAAATCAGAAAACATATTTATTGAGAAGAGTCATAGGTATTACGACAACAGCAGTTGTAACTTCTGACTGAACACCTTTGGAGGGTGGCGGTTAATAACATTTAGTTGACTTTTGTTTATAACACCTTTAGAGGGCTGCGGTGAGTAGTGTTTAATTATTTGATGTTTGTTATTAACAGCTTTAGAAGGCAGCATTGAGTAATGCTCGTTTATTTTATTGGTTTATTTGTTGCTTAGTAACACCTTTAGAGGTAAGCAGTGAATAATGTTTACTTATTTTATGTTTGTTAAAAACCCCTTTAGAGGGCAGTGGTGAATAACGTTTGTTTATTTGATGTTTGTTAACACCTTTAGAGGTCAGCGGTGAGTAATGTTTCTTTATTTGATGTTTGTTGATGGCGTCTTTAGAGGGCAGCAGTGAGTAATGTTCGATTATTTGATCCTGAGCTGTTTCTGTGGTCAGTTGGGAGCTACTAAGTATGGACAGCTAGGAAACAAAATAGCTGATAAGCCAATTTGGCCACTTTAGGCTTTAATAGCTGCATACACTAACACTAAACTGTTAACTGCAAAACTGTATATGGCAATTAATAATGAGTAGCCAGCCAAGTATGATAAGTACTGTACTGCAGTTTACCTCGAATGGTCTAATTTTATACACATTTGCACTGCAGGCGTTTTTATATTTTTTTTTGTGAGTTTTTTTGAATGAATAAAAAAAAACTGCGATTTAGTTCAAGTCATATTACTGGTAATTTCTTCCTGTAGTAGTGTTTGAGCAGGGTACTTTTTAAAGAAATTAATGTCTGATCAATGTCAGCACGAGCTGGTACCTAAGGTTTCGGTATCAGCATCAGACAAAGCTGTAATGAAGAGATGAGTCCAGTGAGAAAGTGACGTTTGTCTCTGACACTATAAATCTCAGCACGTCCTTGTTTGGACAGACAGCGATGTGTGTTATTATGAATGCGTCAGGCTCTGGGCTCTCAATCAGGGGCTTCCCCAGCGCACGTGAATCCATCTCTGGGGTAATTAGGGCTGGGCATGGACCGGCACAGCGCGCTCATAAATCTCCACCAAGCAACCGGCAAGCCGTAATAGCCTGTGTGGCTGCTCCAGCGCGGATCAAAGAGATAAAACGCAAAATGTTCACAGTTCAAGCACAGGTGTTGACCGAGGTGGAGGGTTTTCCATGTCGTTTCTGGATTCTTGCCATTCCTGCTTGGCTGACAGGCACGGACATGCATGTGCAAACACTTCTTTTCTCTTCTGTAATGGTCCTTGACAAATGATTCTGCATACTAACAAGAAGCTACCACTTTTCTTATCTTAACAAAAAAAAAAGCCATATAAACAAAGATTTATCCACACATGCATGCAACACATTGGCAAAAACTGACTTGTGTCTTTATGCTCTTATAAATGAAAAGGTACCCTTCCAAATAAAACTAGTAGTAACAATTTGCATAATTTATTTTAATTGAGTATTAGTAAGCAGTCCAAATAAAACTAACTAAAATAATTAAGCTAATATTGACCACCCCGAGACGTTACACTTAATAAACTTGATTTACATCAAAACATCTTGGGAACAAACACTGCCTTCAGCACATATGCCTACGAATGCTCTCCAGTCTCAGGACTTAAAATGCAAATACTGGCTGAAAAAATACAAAAACGTCCAAAACAATACAAATTCAAATGCTATATTTCCTAGAACTGCACAAAAAAAAAAATCATATTTTTATCTCATCAAGTACATTAGCTATAAGCGTGGACTCTTTTTCAACACTTGAACAGCACAAACTCGTTCCTGATGCTCCTGTCATCTCAAATCCTGCAAAAACTGCTTCGTAACGGTGGCGATAGGAGAAACAGCTGAGTGGTGGAAAAGCCTGCCGGCCATACGGTGAGTGAGTGGAGCACAGTGAGTGAGCAAGGGGCCAGGAAAAGGGGGAGAAAGACGGAGTGCGAGAGAGAAAGAGAAAGAAAGAGAGAGAGAAAGAGAGAGAGAGAGAGAGAGAAAGAGAGAGAGAGCGTGAGAGAGAGCGAGAGAGAGCGCGAGAGAGAGCGCGAGAGAGAGCGAGAGAGAGAGAGAGAGCCCAGAGGAGGGGAGTCCAGCGCTGGAATGTAAATAAGGGCTTACCGTGGGGAGAGGTTTGCCTTTGGTGGGGTTCCTCTTCTGGGGAAGCCAAGCCCACCATCCCCCAGCTCCTGATCTGAAAGGTAAACACAGTGCGGATGATAAGGAGTCACCGTTGCGCAGATATGCTAGTGCACCAGCAATGGAGGATCCAGGGAAATGGGGCTTAAAAGAAAAGGAAAAAAAAGCGGACGTCCCGGTCCGCTAAAGCCGTCGGAACTCCCTCACAGAAATCCATCTTCAGGCTGAAGTGCTGTCTCTGGCAGCTCAAGCTGCACACTGACACCTCCTGAGTGTCAGTGAGACGCTTTCTCTCTCCCTCTCTCTCTTTCTCCACCCCTCCTCCCTCTCTCTCTCTCTTTCTCTCCCATGGAGGCTCCCGCTGCCCTTGCCTGCAGGCCCCATGCCAGACACCGCTTTTCATTTTCTGCAGTGAAAGTAATGAATCACATATGCGCTTAAAGCCAAGCACAACCCCCCCCCCTCGCTCTTTCTCTCTCTCTCGTGTCTCCCCACCCCCCTCCAGTCATTGCTAGCCAATCCCATTTTTCTCTCCCCCCCCACTTCCTTTTCTCTACACCCCTCCCCCTCCCTATTTTCCCTCCTTCTCCCTTCTTCCTTTTTTCAGTTTTAACACTTTCCAGTCCAGCACACCAAGGCTGGCCCCAGTGCTATTCCTCCTGACCTCCCCCAGGGGAAACACACTGGACCGAAAACGCCGGCCTGTGCGGCCAGAAGCATCAGGAAACACTTTAGCGCACACTGTGCGCGTCTGTCCGAGCGTCGTCCCCCTCGAAAAGAACAAAATTAACTAACTAGGACCTCTTGCTAAGCTGACTGAAAACAAAGGTGTGAATACACACTGATCTGAAGCTAAAACATCTCTATCTTATCAAAGAAAAAAAAAGTATATAGGTGACATTAGAAAGTAAAGGAACATACAGTACTATGCAAAAAAATTCTTGGTCAAATGATGTTTTATTTTCTACATGAAAACATTGGTGTTTTATTTTTTCCCAATATGTAAAATCTGCAAAATAAACAGTAAGTGTGCATTAAAATGTGGGGAAGTGCATTAAAGACTTCTCTGTAAACTCATTTAGTATTTCCCAGAAGTGTTTTTACGGATGTGATGTAGAGCTTAATTCTTTCGTACAGAACTGATGGAAAAACAACCTTATTTGCAAGATTTTTTCTGTTTGAAATGCGAATTAGCATTTCAGAATTTAATTTTGCATGTATTTAGTTTAAAAGTGCAATACAATGGCTTTTTTCCTTAATACACACGATATTTCATTTTTCTGAGGTTAGTAAGTTACAACAGATAAAAAAAGGAATCAGTGGTGCCGTACCGACAAATATCAAAAACTCTAAATACAGTGATTATTCTTCTGTTGGTTTCACACACAGCGCTGCGCTAAATCCATTTAAATAGGATTAATGATGCTCTCCTCGTATTGTTCTTTAAGTACGATATCGACGATATTCTGAGAAAAGCACATTGTGACATAATGTGATAATTTATCCCAACAGCAATAAATACTGTCATACTGACCACACCTACCATTCAAACAACAAATCAGATTATTTGATTCCTAAACACATGTGCTAACACGTCCTGTTGTTCAGGCAGCACTGCCTATATAGAGCTGCTGAGTTGAGAGACTAGATTTTGCAGTGAGGAAGAGTGGTGAGTTTTTTTTAATGAGTCCTCCTTCTCCTATTGTTGGCTAAAAGACCCTTTGACCTCCCTTTGAGGAGAGGGGCATGACCGATCCATTAGTTCTCAAAGGCCATGTCCCTTTCCCCCCCACACTCCTAAAAATAAATGCTCCTAACAGGTTCTTGGCTTGGACATACAGTTCTAGTCTAATTCTTTAACCAATCTATTCAGGCTCTGCCCACAAACACACTCTTTCGAAGAGGCACTGGCAAAAATAAATAAATAAATAAATAAAATCCCATTCAACCTAAAGAAAAATTGCTGGAAACAATTCAAGACCAAGTTTTTCAATTCAACAATAAGTTTCTCATTAGATTGAATGAGTAACTTTACATGTAGGTATTGTGATATAAACTGAGTCGTGTTCTACAGTTTGTCATTAGGTTGAATAAATCACGCACTTTCAATGTAAAGTTGTGCAACAGTTTCTCATTAGGTTGAGTGATAATTCAGTCTAAATGTAACTGTGATATAAACTGTGAGCTCTAGTTTCTCATTAGGTTGAATGTGTTTTTTTTGTTTTTTCTTAAACCAGCACGCTAAAGCTTGTCCAAACGGGCAACAGCAGCGACAAAAGAACGTATCTGTGGGTGGAGCATGGATAGGTCAATTGGTGTAGAACCTTTGTATTATGAGAAGAGATTTTTTTACAAAGTGCAGTCTGCTTTTCTGCAGAGCCCCACAGTCTAGGCAGGGAAGGACTGTGGGAGGGGTGAGAGTGACCCAAAGGTATGCCTGAGCCTTCTAACTTCAGGGTATCCCCACTGTGTCATTGCACAGTCACTGGCTAGATTAATGAAATGTTTGAGTGCTAACATGCTTCATTTAACAGGTATGCACACTTTCTACTCGTCTGTCCTGCGGAGTTTTGTTCTCTCTCTCCCACTCTCTCTGCGATTTGGGGGGAGGTGTGAGGGGTTCAGCTGACCACACATTCCACGGGCACAGGCGAGCGAGGAGAATGCAGAGAAGAGAAACAGGAGAGGGAGAAAATGAGGAAAGATTTCAGAAAGCGGACTCCATGCTAGAGGGATGCGGGCAGCAACTGGACAGTTTCTGCCTTAAACCTTTGTTTGTGCATGCTTATTAGGGTCACTTTTGGGGCGCTTTTAATAAGACTCACTTTATTTGATTCATGTTATTTAATTAAGCAAAAAAATATTTTATTTAAGAATTTAAAATGTCTGTTTGACCACCTTAAAAAATATATATGGGACTTTGGCTAACAGAAACTGCGGGTTCTAGTAATTTTTACATGTTCACTTGGCCTAAACAGCATGAGCTAAAGATATTTTTTTTTAAAATTACAAAATTAAATAAATAAATGAAATAAATGACAAAACTTTGCCAAAATTTCAGCTTTTAGCCAACCTGGCTTAGAAGAAATTGGCCACAGAAATTTAGCTAATATTTGATAATCCTCAGTTAGTAAAGCCCTGTTCAACTGAAACTACAGCAGTCTGGGTTTCACATTATATACTTAGATCAGTCAATTTTATCTGTTAGCAGAATTTTTAGCTCCTTAAAATAGTCATTGGTGACAAAACGTTCATACTGGTCAGGCCATACTGTGTGAGAAGACAGAGTGAGTAAACTGTATGTGTTGGACCTCACCTGCTGGAGAATTCTCAGACTGGGCGATGAGGGCAGCCATGGCAGAGGTTGGGTTCAGCCGGTTTCCAAACATATGGGAAGGTGCCAGATTAAAAGGTCCTGGTAATGAGTTTGACTGTGGCTGAAACAAAGAAATAGGAATTAGGGCCATAACTACTGTTTTATATTAGTTACGTATTAGTTATATTATCAACAATTTCACATATTAGTAAGTAATGAGAGTTTTTAAAAAAAAAGACAAAAACTGGACACTTGGAAAAGTGTAGCTACTAGGATTAGTGATGTGAAAAATTGTGAAAAATTATTATTTTCATTATTATGTCATTTTGTATTGCATTTTTTGCATATATATATATATATATATATACACACACACACACATATATTATATATATATATATATATATATATATATTACATTATTACTTGTGTATGAGTGTGTATAAGGAGTTATAAGGAGTCAGTGTTATACTGTTGGGTGCCATACGGAGGTTACAATATTTTATAATATGTTCTGTATGCTGTCTTCTGTATTTATTTTCATTTTTTTGCTTAAAAAATTCAGCCTTTCAAATATTCGATAACATATGGAAAAAAGATAATCTAGCACGTTTTTGAAAAAGACTTAATTTAATAAAATATAAAACAGACAAGAAAGCAGCAGAATTTCAAATATGCAAACTGTCAACATATCCTTCTTTCAGAAGGTAAATTCTAATCAATATATAGTTCAATCAAGTTATACCAACAGCTTTAGCACACACTAGCACACACACTATTCAAATTTAGGGAAAAAAGCATGTAAATTGTGTGTGCGTGTGTGAGAGAGAGAGAGAGAGAGAGCGAGCGAGAGCAAGAGAGAGAGCGAGCAAGAGTGCGCGCGCGAGAGAGAAAGTGTGTGTTTGGGTGTATGTGCGTGTTGGGGGTGGGAGGGCGGTGGAATGGTCGTTTAATCAAGCACCATGCTAGCTGTATTTCCTGTAAGCTCGAAGGACAGCCTGAACCTCAGCAGACAACAGCAGCAGCACCGACCATGTGCTTCTAATGCTAATTATTTAATCCAATTAAACCATTTCGCTAATTGGGGGGAGGGGTGCAGAAGCCAGACAAATTGTCAGTGCATCTTTATAATGCAACTAAGAACTAACCTACTAGAAATCACTAAGATATTCATTTCCTATTACAATACTATATAAAATACTATTGCATTAATAATAAGGGTGTAATGATGCACAAATTTTATGACAACGTGTACTGCGCCTTTTTCCACTATGATATGATTTACACTCAAGTATGTAATTTTTGTGCTTGTCTCTTTTAGGAATATAATGGAGTGATTAACATAACAGTGCAAACCAATCCAATTTATGTCAGCACAGCATAACACTTAATAAATATCCATTTATTAATGAGCCAGTGAAATAAATAAAAATATAATTGAAAAACACGGTCAAAATGATGTATTTTCATATTTATGTGCACATTCCAATCTAACGTCCAGTCATTTCTGAGGTTGCAGGGAAGGATAATTTAATAAAATCGATAAAAACATTTGTAAAAAATCTATTACATTTTACTTAAACCTAGAAACCCAGCAGAATTTTATTCAACTGTACAGTTTTTAAAATATTTAGAGGGCTTTAATATTAGAGAGCTGTGTTTGCTATCTTCATCTCCTCCTTACATTCCTTGCTGACTAACACTGAGCCTTCATTCTTTTCCCTGTTAGAAACGCTCTCCCCTTCTAACACTCGCTCTCTCCAGGCCGGCGTCCGGGCCTTTGGCCAAAGATGTCAAGAAAAGCCCAGCAGATTATGAATGGAACCCATCGGAATCCAAATTTGTTGCATAATCCGCTCTGGTAAAGATGCCTTCACTGTGCCTGGATTCATACTATTTTTGTTTTGTTTTGTTTTGTTTTATTTTCCTTCCCAAAAAAGTAACAGCTAATGTATAAAGCACAACTGGTTTATTCTTCTAATAAAGGTGGCATTAATCATAATAGAGCATTGGTATTTATTGCAAGTCCACTCCCAACAACGTAAAAAGAAAATTCTTGAAAGTGGTCTTTAAAGCATTTTGGAAAGAAACCCTTTATTTTTTTCTACATATTCTGAAAACAGAAAATACTGTTAAATTCTATAGGGAGAAAACAGTTTGATATTGGTATTTGTCCATATCCTTGTAATAAAAAGACAAATAACAAACAAGGCATATTTTTGTTTGTTCTGTTTCACTGTTGTAGAGCTTCAGAAATGTTCAGAAATGGCTCCACTGATGACGGAAAGTCTTGGTTTCATTAGAATATATAGAATATTAGGAATTATCACTAAACTGATATTTACGTATTTCTGTCTCAAACAGAGGCAAACACTTTGCCTTCACATGAAAGCAGATATCTATTTTGGGATGCATGATATCATAATCACATTGGTATCAGCAAACATTTGCTTTGAAACAACATTGCACACAATGTTAGATGTGACTGATATTTCGGAGCAATATTTGATGTGCATCGGTCTGCAGTTCCTATATCTGTACATCCCTATATATTGTCCCGAAAAAAGAAAAACAAAACCCATTCATTTAACTTTGAGGTTTGAGTTACATAGCAGACATTCTTTACCTTCTGTGTTAACATTATAATCTTTCTCCTTTTTTTTTAAACATACAGTGAAAAAGCAACAAATTTCTTATTTTCAAAAGTATCCATTATCTCGAGATAGCAAAGTTTGATTCCAGATTTCTCCTGGACACCTCCAGAAATTGAATGGATTTATTCAATTCCATCATGAGCACACCTGATTTAACATAATGAAGTACTGATTAGATAAACCAGGTATTAGATGATAGCTACAAATAATACTAATTTGGTTAAACACATTGAGAGACATAAAATCAATGCTTATTGCATTGAATAAACACTTACAAATAAACACTTACTGCCAAGATAAAAAATAGATCTAATTTTTTCAGACTTTTGCACTGTACTGTATTTCAATTTGAAATGATTTCTCAACATTAAATACAGGAAAAATAACACTAAAGCCAAAAACTAGGAATGCACAATGATATCAAAATCCTACCAGTATTGGCAGACAGATTTGACCAATATTTCAAACTGATGTTTGTTGATGTATTTATTGTACTCTAGAATAGCAGAATGTTTAGGGGATCCTAGGCTACTGCACTAAAGTAACTGCATTTTACTGTAATTTTATTTGCAACCCCTTTACAAATAAATGTTATATTTCACTGTATGTTAATCCAAGTGGTTAACATTTCAATATTCTAAATATGTTTATATTTCAGTATTAGTACATATGTACACAAACAATATCAGATACTGGCATTAACCTACAATTCCCATATCGATCATCTTTACCATAACATTAAAGCATTAAGCACCAGTGAGCCCAGTGCCAACCGTATAGCTAAATTATCACACGCTTGCCGCAAACCATGTTACATAATAAGCGACGCTTTATTTGGATAGTCTCCTACAGATTATTTACAAATCTGCAAATTATAAACAAATTATCTGACAAAATTCAGTTAAATTTTCACAAAATTAGGATTGGAGTAAGTGTTATGTTTAGGATTAGGTTTTGGGTGGAAGTTAGGGTTGGGTTTAGGTTTAGATTTACAGAATCTATTACATTGAAGTTCAGGTTCAGTTGTATTTAATAGATATTTAGCTGAATGAGCATATATGGAGCATTACAGTGGAATTTCAAAAAGTACTACTATGTAATCTCTAACTGACTCGCTTATACAGTTTGACACTGTATGACACTTATCTACAAACATGGATAAAAGTACATCACATAACTAAAAACAGCAGCCTGAATTTTATGCATACTTTAAAACAATGTTTAGACACCAGTTACGTCTACATTCAAGGTGAGACAGGAAAATATGTACATCTGTGTAAGTTCACAGTTTAAAACTCTAAAAACAAAAAGAGGTTTTTTGGCTTATTTTCCCACGTTTACCATGTTCTTTCCCCTCTCGTGCACTTCTCACGTTTTTCATTCCATTTCATCTCGTTATAAAGCATAGTGCTCTCTCGCTCCGGCTACCCGGCCCCGCCCCTCTGCCGTTCTTTCAGCCAGTGTGTGGAGCGAAGGGGCGACCGTGGGGATGAAACGAAGTGTGAACAGAGCCCCTCGTCTCCCAGTGCAGCCCCCTCTGTCCAGCCTGTCAGCTCCCATCGCGTCAGAGTGCCATGCTCAAAACCCGCACAGGGCCAGCCAGCCAGCCGGATTGTTCTGGGCTTACCGCTCTTCGGGCCATTGTGGGAGGCCAAGGTGTGCGCAATGGGATGGATGTGCGCTAGAGGTCAAAGGTCAACACTGTGCTCCTTCAACCACTAAACATCTCCCGTTTTTCCATTCCCACCCATTCGGCCCACCAGGAGCGACCGATCTGAACTTGGAGGTTTATCCATGTTTATTTCTAAATGTTAGACTTAATCAGATCAGAATAATATTCGGTTTCATTTTATTTAGATTGTTTGTACAGTATATATTAAAGTATATATTAAAAGCAACTTTCTACTGAATGTGATAAATTCTGTTAAATCTAACCTTAAACCTAAAGAATATCATTGCAGTCAAAACAAAAAGGAAAATCTCTATTGCATTTGGTGAAATTTTGAATTAAAAATTCCAGCTGATTTGTCAAAATTTCCTAACAATCTTATCAATAGAAATGGTCCAACCTGACTTATAACAGAATATTGTTATATTAGCTTACAGTGAGAGTTCGTTGTTTTGTAAAGTTAGTTTTTTGGAGGTGCAATTTTTAAATTAGATTGTGTAATATTAAAATAAATTATCTAATATAATTACACTGTGTAAGAAATTCATGATGAACAGATCAATAGAAACACTCCAAAAGGATTTAGCATAAAATCTCTAAAAAAACACTTCGACAGTTACTTCTGTACAGGTTTTTGGAGATTGAAGGTTTAGTTCCAACAGTAATGACTTGTTAACAGTTTGGGCTAAAATCAATATTTATTATTTATTAACTATGTTTATTTTCTAATAAAAAAAAAACAAAAAAACAGTTTGGTGTATTTTTTTTCCAGTGTCTGTATAAATTGTTACTCCTGCCATGCGTATTTTTAAAAACAATTCTGAATTGTACTAAAATAATGGAAACAGTAATATTTGAGATTTCATCATGCATCATGTCCTAAAGAACACAGTCAGAGATCTGGTGAGCATGAGATTTTTTGCTATGTATATGAGCTCTGTTCTCATTGGCTGTCCTGTACGGTGCCACACTCAAAAAGCTGTTGAGGCTGAAACACTCCTAACTTCACGGTAAATGTGCAGGGCTAAACTGCTGTAGGCTGACTAGGATATATGTAAATGAGTAGATTTGTGATGTCACAAAAAATGAATTCAAAAACAGCTTGCAAGTACTGCGCTTTAAAACGATCAATGATTACATACATCAAACTCTCACTGGAGAAAGTGAGGAACGTACATTTTTTTTAAATATTGGTCCTAATAAATAAATAAACAAATAAATAACACCAACTCAATTTTAACGAGTAAACAAACATGCTGATACCACACACACATCGGCTTATAGCCCGAGCTAACAGAACACTACCCTGTACGCATGCGCATACAGAATCCTGTGCAGCCGTACGGTGGGACGCTAATGGGGGGGGCACTCTTAAGTGCATGTCTGGAGTAGTCGGACCCCCAAGGGCCCTTCAGCGTTAAGGCCATCAGTGGCCTCTGCTTCATCTCCTAATGCTGGGCCACCCTGCCTACAGCGAGGGCAGCGGCCGTGCAAACAAAAACTGGTTGCCAGGAGACGGCTCTCAGGTCAAGACAAAGATGCTGGGGATCAGAGAGCAGATGAGCTGGTGCTCCGTCAGAGAACAAAAAAAATGCAGAAGACCCATCTGGAATGAGCGTGTGTTATGCTAAAGAGTGAAATTTCCTGACTGTTGCAAATACAAAGTGCTTACAACATGATGAGCTAGCAAAACGCCATCAAGAAACAAATAAAGGAAAAATAAAAATTATAAATTTCCTACTATTCTTACTATATTCCTTCGAAAAAATCTGATTGCTGATGACTAAGACAAAGGATTGTTTTAGAGCATCATCAACATGTTCATGTCTAAATAGTCATATGTAAAAGTTTGAACTTTCATGTTTTGTTGACTTTGTAAGTGAAAATAAGTTAACATTTTCTACAAGGAGCACAACGGCAATTTTCTGCAAATTTTAGTGCACAATTTATATTTATTTGCTGAGTAACATGGATAAATAAATAACACGGTAAATAATGCGAAGTAAGTTAAGCACACTAGCGCTGCATTTAAATGCAGCCACGCACCATTATGCTGAATAGCCAGACACCTCTTACTTTTGATGAAAATCTTTATTCGATTCATGTTTTTTAATCAAGCAACTAATTTTTGAAGAATTTAAAAGCCAGTTTGGCCCATTAAAGCAAAAACAGTTGTTTAGTGTTGGGACTTTGGCTAATACAAAGTACTGGAAATGTACTAGTGTTATAGCACACACTGAGCTTTGGGCTAACAAAAATTGGCCACAAAAATCAGTGATTGGCCAACCGCAAATAAATCTATATCTTTCAGAAGAACTTATGCTAGTTGAAGTAAAAGCAGTTATCATTCACATACAAGTACAGAAGACCCCCCCAAAAAAGAAAAAAAAATTAAAATAAATAAAATACAGTCAAAAGTGGAAAAAAACTTCATTCTTGACATTCTCTTTCCTTCCAAAGCTGCTAATAAGACTGCTCTTTTCTCACGGCCAGAGCACACGTCATGGCTTTTATTTGGCCTCGCTGTCAGTGTGCGGCTTCACTCCGGCTGCGTAACTCAAACACAGCTTCACTTATGTCACCGTTCACCCACTGACCGAGCGCATTTACATAAACAGCCTAGTCATAAACACCCTGAATTACTCACAATGGTGTCTGCCAGCATTGAAAAATGAGCCTCGAAACGATACAAACTAACCTTCTCACTATATTATTCAGCCAAGGAGAATCAGTGTCGCTGGTGTGCTGGTATGTTTGTGTGTATGTAGAACATGCCGTACAGATCTAGTGCAACTACCAGGGTTATACACAGAAATGTATATCTAAATATGGAAAAAAGCTATGAAAAAAAATACTTAAATTAATGGCTAAATTACAAAACGTGGCACCCGTGCTCTCCAAAAGATAATCAGTATTTGCGCCATTAAGGGGCTCCTAGTGTTATTATCTCTGTACAAATTCCTGCTCTGTACAAAAGTAAGTATACTTTCATATAATTGGATAATTCTGTGTGTAAACAGGCACCAGGAAGCTGTACAAGCTGAAAGTCCAGCTCAATTAATTAGTGTTAATAATATGAATCCTGAACTTTGCACTACAGGTGCACGATGTGGCAGAAATACAGTATTACGATACTTCACAACATTTTCACAATACATGATGTCACGATACTTGATTTTTCTGACTTCTGATCAGTCAGAACAGACATAAAGGTGCCAAATTAAAAAAAAATACTATCAAAAAACAATAAATATCATTTTTATTTAAAATTTCATTCACCAAGCTACACTAAATCCAATTAAACAAAACTAATTTTGTTCTCTTTGTAGTGAAACACGCAGCTGATCAGTGTTCTAAAAGTACTGACCACAATATGCTCGGACAAGTGTCATTGTGATGTAATATTATGATAAGGATAAATAGCGTTGTATCTCCTAGCCCTACTTAGAACATAAAAAAAAATCATCTTAATGCATTTGTCGTGAGTTCTTTTTCCAGTTGAACATTAACAAAGGTTCTCCAATCATAAAAATACTAGTTTCCACCCATATGAATCAAAACTACTGCAGCCACAAGGAAAAAAACAGCCTAAAAAGGGCCAGAAAATGACAGAAGTAAATTGTGAAATATACTTTCAAAAATGCAAAACAAAGAAGTTTTAGTTAGTAATTGCCAAATATGAGCACATCTGTGGTACAATAGGCAAACCATTAGACAATGTATGGACACTTCTATAAGGCAGATGAATAAGTAGCTGGTCTGCCTATTATCTTCAGAGCAGCTCCAGTCCTGAGAACATTACGGACCTTGCATGAAACGATCATTCATTAAGAAAAGCAGTGTCTCCCACTCACAACACCGTCAGCGTTTCACTGCACTAAGGTCTATGTTTTGTGCTCAATACGATAACGTATTTTTGAACAGTAGCTCTGTTGTAACTGATTTTCAAATCCTATGCTGAAAGGAATCGTTCAAGCCATAAATACTAAATCAATCATACAGCTACCATTAAGTAGCCAGCAATGTCATACTAACTGGTGGCTACAAGCTTAGTCAAGTTTGCTTGTGTTACTCCTTTAAGATCAGCTCTTTAAATCTCTGATGCCATTTTGACACAGAACGCTGAGGTTAATAATAGGATAGTCTCCATGTGTTTTTTATGTCTGTTTTCGCAGCCAGCGCACCAGCTGTCTCAACACCTAATTACTTGTCTTCTTATTTTCTTAAATCAATTTATTACATGCTTTATTCTGTTTAAAAAACTTTTTTTTTTTTTAAATGGCTTTCATTGCCTTTTAAACTGTGAGTTTTAGACGCCTCCAAACCAGTGTTCATTAAGCACTTAGGTCTTTTTGTGCACCTGGTTTGCATGTAAGCACTGCTGTGCATGGGAAAGTACTACCAGAACTTCCAGACAGTCTAGAGTGATATATCTCACAAAATTGGTCCAACTGTAAAACAAAATGTGACTGATTGATTCCACAGTCACTTCCTATTTATTTTAGTGGTTAATTTAATGTGTAAGGTCTTCAGTCCAGCTCCTGAGGTCCCAGCCAATGGGAGAGCTCACTTGGCTTATCTACTTAGATACCACAGAGAAAAGAATTCTGATTGGATAATTTTTCTTTCAGTAATTTAACTCTTGTTTGCAACCAAAATTAACACTGAATTATGAGTATCACTACAATACTTGCAGATACAACAAGACAGCTTATTCTATTAAATAAAAATTAACTAAACATTATAGACATATATTACAATCCTATAGAGGGGTTAGCAGAAGTCATTTAGGAAGTTTTATTTTTAAAAGTGTCTCAGTCACTTATACCATTTTCTTCTGTCTTGAATGTCATCCCATTGTATACTTTGATATAACCGAGATGGGCTGTTCTTTTTGATCTTGAAATCTAAACTGTTTGAGTTTTGTGTTGTGTTTAAATACTTACGAGTGTGAAGGTGGTGCTGGTGAAGGGGGCCGGTGGGGGCAAGGACGTCAGGCTGGGCATTGTGGTGACCGCAGACTGCTGAGTGGGCAGCTCTGAGCTGGACACAGACAGACTGCCCCCCAGCACTGCGCTGGGCAACGGGCCGGCTACATCACTGCTGCTGGGGTATGTAGCTGCAAAATAAATAGGGAAAGCATTTAAATAACATAAAATATACTCAGAGCTGGGATCTAAACAACTAAACAGCAATGCACAGTGCATGTTATTTAGTGTGGAATTGTCACCCTTAACATTAAAACTGATGCACGACAGGGCTGCACAATATATTGTTTGGTAATTGTTACTGCGATATTAGCCTTTGCAATAGTGATATTAATAGATATTGCAGTAGGGTATACTATGCAACTGGCTCGGCTTTGATGAATTAAGGTATTCATGAAATCAAGCCAAATAAATTACTGAAAACAAAATAATGTAGGCTTATCTTACTGTGATATTGTTTCTCCAAAGCATTTTTAACACTTTCACACTTGCAATAGAAATCAATAAAATCGTAATATTGCTAGTTTGACAAAGACCAGGACTACTGTGAAGTGATATACAACAATATACTGTGTAACATAGCGGTTAAGGCATTTTGTGTAGAAATCACCATCTCCCTCCTTCTATCTATATCTCTCTCGGTCTGTCCCCGTGTTGAACTTTGCGGACTGCGAGTAGCCAGTCCATCCTGGGCCTCTCATTACAGCAGATACAGGCAGGACACAAAGCAGATCTCAATATACACACACGCGCACGCGCACACACGCACACGCACGCACACACACACACGGCCTGCCACTGACCCAGAAAGCAGTGTTTAGAATCTGATGACTCACTGTGAGCTCTATAGGTGCAGGGGCAGGGGGAGGGGCTATTTACATTCATGTGACAGCCCCTCACACGCACTCGCTGTTTGTTGGTGTTGTTTTATTGAATTTTTTTCTCCCCCCCACTTCTTTCTCCCTCTTCACCCGCCCCCACAAATATAAGCCCCACTGATGGCCCAGGCTGACCCTCGGAGGAGCAAGAGAGGCCCCCTTTGGCCCACAAAAGAATGAATGGCTCGCAGCAGTGAACATTCACTACATGAACAAGGCCACATTGTTAAACAGAGAGGTACCACGTGAACTCATTTACAGCATCAAGCACCAGCCCATCTAGATACATCCAGAGAAAAATGTAAACTTCGTTGTTAGCTTCCCCCCTTAGCTAATGTCATGTTGCAATAAAAATGCAATGTCAAAAATGCCATTTTAACATGCAAACCAAACTTTTTTTTCCCCATTCTAAACGAAAAAAGTTAATGTCAAGAAGGATTCTATACATAAATAAGGCACATTTCAATATTATTATATAGTACATTGGTATTTATCAATATCAGGGCTGATATCAGCAGAATATGCTGGTTTGGATATCGGAGGGAAACATCTCTTCTTGTGGGATAGTAGTGTTTAAGTACTTTTAAATCATCTTAAAGGGCACTCTGGACAAAACTTAAAGAAAAGTAACCACAGCAGTTCAAGTTACAGTTTGTTCCACCTAATGTCATATGGTCCCCCTGAAGTAGTTGGTACAGCATATGGTGTATTAAGCAGTAAAATGTAAACAGTAAACATAAACTCTCGTATAGATCAAATTTTTTATATAGGGTTGGGAAAAAAGGCAATAGGTCACAAACTGCTATAAAATTGAAAAGCATCTCTCATGTTATAAAAGTACAAAATAAATAGAATAATAAAAAAAAAAACGTGTGCATTAGGAGCAGTGTTTCAATTTGTTCCACTTGTTATATTTTAACATTCAAAGCTTACCCCAAACTCTCCCCCCCAAAAAAAAGACTGAGGAAAACATTGATGCTAGTAGGGAGGGACAGTGGGTACGACCAGGTAGAATTTTGCAATTTAGCATTTCGCTCTCCAATGCTGTCGTAGTTTACTGAGAACCCAACATTTTCCCACACAGCTGAAAAGCAGGTGGGTCTTCGAGCTCATGTGTGTCATTTGCACTCACTATAGTGTGACTGACTCAGTCAGACACCAATCAGCTTGAGCTAAGCTTAGCATGGCATATTGCTAACATGCTAACATGTACCATCACACCCCTACTAGCTGGCAAATGCAGTGGGAAGCTATATAGCTAATGTTAGTACTAGGAAGCCTGTATTGCAGTAGTGAAACCCCAAGGGTTGCATGACACCTGTGCAATGCATGTTAGGTATTGTAGTGAGAACACAGATCCACAAAAAACCAAAAAGGATACAAAATTGTGAATTCTGTCAAAACTACAAAGCTAAGGGATGTAGAGCTGCACTACAGAATACTACACAACATATGAAATGCTAGACTTGGACCTGAATGCCCCTTTAAGCAAAGTGTTTCAATTAAAAATAGCGCAGAATATATTATTATATTAAAAAATGTCACATTTCATATTTGATGTTTAATTTTCCCCCACTATGTTAAACTTGGTCAAAAACTGCAGAAAAATAACATTCAAGTTTACTCCCTGTAGAGGATGTGTTACCTTTTTTTAAATTAGAAAATCGACATAACATGTAATTTGACCAGGAGCGTGCATATAACTGCATTAACTAGCCTATTCGTAAATAATGAAAGAGTGATACACTGTCAGTATATGCAGGCTTTTCCTGATACCCAAACTTGAGCAAGTCTAAATGAACACTAGCAATGATGGCTTTGTGGTGGTGACATTGTTTGCAGCAGCTTCACATATAATGTAGGGCTCCCTTGTGTTTTGTCAGTGCAATAGTCATATTAATTTACATTGATTTATTACATTTAGGCAGTAAGCTTTTTCATACCGATTTATTACATTTATAACATCACTGGGGACGTTTTCTTGTCCCTGCACTTGTGGTTTCATTGGCAAAAATGTTGAACTTGGTGGGCATTTTGCCCTTTCCCCCTGAGCAAAGTAATAGCAAAACCCCATTTACAAAAACACGAAATCAAATCCTCTCTCTCCTATTGACTTAAATATCAATCAACAGCCATTCATCACATGAATTTGTTTTCAAAAAAATCATTTAATAAAATCAGGAATAATTTAGACCGCACTCGATGCATGAACGACTAATCTTCAAATAATCAATTTAATCTGGAAATCTGGTTGATAACATTTCCAAAAAAAGGTCAACCAAAGGGGCATTTGATTAGAGTTTACAAGATGCAGGGGGCCAAACAAAGCAAGGACACACATCTCCCTGCTATCTGATGAGGATCGAAGTGGCCGATCGATTAGGTCTTAAGATCTCCTGCAAAAAAAAAAAACACCTTTATCAAATCAGGAGAGAGAGGGGGGAAATTTCAAATTAGATTAAGCAGCATTTCAAGTCAAGCTGCCACCCCCCCCATTGCAGAAAATCCATGCAGGTTCAGAGAGAGGTTAATGATGAAGCCCAAGTCCTGATAAGAAACCTCACAACTTGCTCTTAGAGTATGTTCCTGACTCAACATACAAAAGTCAAGTATACGGTGCATCGAGTGGGTCTTTGATTTGAGTAAATGTGATGTAACTGAACTTGTGACCCAGTGAATGGCTGCTGATTGACAGTCTGTGTGAACAGGACAAACGAGATTTCAAAGTTCTGGGAGATACTGACAAAAATTCAATATCACAATATTTTCCAAATCAGTATCAAGGTGTCATGCAGCTGTGTACAAATACACATTTTAGGTTCTACGCAATTTTGGATTCTCAGATCTAACTTGATTTTTGATTTTAAAACTGCCTCAGATTAAACCTCATGCCTCCATCTGTTGTTCATACGATTTCTCAATGGAACTTTTTAAATGCCTGCAGTACAATCTAACAAATTAAGCCCTAAACAAAGCAACCCCTACAGCTTATAAGCAACACAGCAAAAGCTTTGTCCACTTTGCTTTGATCGGCTACACCCAGATGCTCAGTCAATGATAAATGTCTATGATCATTGACAGTGGTTTCCATGAAAGATGGTAAATGAAAGACACTCAGAAGAGTGCGAGGGGGATACTGGTGTCCTGGTTTCGAAAGTAGGCCTGTAGCAAGCATAAAATCTTAGCTGATGATTAATTTCCATATAAATAACTGCAATTAACACTGTAATTGTCTTTTTTGTTAATTGTATGCGGCTATTAACCCCTTTTCATAGTAGCCAAAAAAATGCACTTTCTGCTTGTTTGAGGAGCTCTCTCAATTAAACTATGCAGTTTTTTCTCCAATAATATTGAGAGAGCATATTTTGATGGAAGTGTACATGATTTACAAAAATGCTCTTCGTTACAAAAACCTGGTCTTTGTAGGTGAACAAGCACAAGGGATTTTAAATGTTATTACTACATCAGTTGTACAGGATAGTTTGATATGAGGAAAGCTATAGCACCAGTCAAAACTTCTGCCGATTTCTTAAGACCCAAGATGTGCTCAAAAAATTTTTTTCTACATTTATTTATATGTATTGCACTCATCTGAACATTGTTTGTTGTGACTTGAAACATACGATTGAGAAAGTAAGCAATTCTGTAGCTTAATAATCATAATTGAAATCAGGTGATTATGTAATAATTGTGCCAATAGTAATAACCGTGGGTCTATTATAACTTTTTGGTACTATATTGAAACTGGTACACACTTAGTACCACAGTTTTTAATGATATTCATCATTAATACTGTTAATAAACTCACGCTTTCTGAGTGCAGCTACTCCACACCAGAAGAATAGTTTGCTTTGTTTGAATTGTTTCATTACATTCTCTTAAATAAATAAATATATAAAATCACACAAAACGGAACCTGTTATATATTTCCTTTGACATCATCATCTTATGGAATAGAATGTTACCTTGGATATAAAACACTCATTGTCTAATGAGCATCAATGCCACAAACAAAAATAGAAAAAACACCAACAGTGGTATACAGACAACACGTCGACAAGCACAACGATTGGATTTAAATTTTTTGCAAATTGAGTTTTCCTTACCTTTGCTTTCTACACAAGAAAGCTTTTATCCTACACTGAACAGTAAACATGTACAAAATGCACAGAAAGCAGGGCAAAAGCTTTTATCACTATTGGTAAGTACTGTTCAGAAGTTGATAGTGTTGTGACGATAGTGCCTTCTGGAAA